GGCATTTTTGCATTTTTTACAATCACATAAAAGGGAAGCAACTTTTCATGTTCTACGATAACCTTTCATTAATCATGAATTTACATAACTTCTGGTATAACTAAGCTTACAAAATTATACTTTAATCCTACTGAAATCAAAATTAGTAAATTGCAAAAATATAATTTGTTTTTGCTGAAACTTTGATAAGATGTGATATGCAGGCATATATGTTTTCTATTTGTTTTAGTGATATAAAAATTGTGTGTGTTTGTAGTTTCAGCATAAATACACAGTCCAGAAAGTCACCAAGATTGCCTTGTTTCAGTTACTTTATATCTTTGCTCTCATAGGCAGAATAGACATTATCTTGCCAAAGTGGATATTGCAGTAACATATTGTGTTTGAGTTGAGAGGATTACTGACTGTAATATTCTTTGCTGTCTAAATATAACAGCTGACCAATGCTGTAAGAGAACAAAAGGTCACACTGTTAACTGAACAAAAAATCTCGCTTAGAATTAGTAGTCTTCTTTTCTGAGCAAATTTGCCATTATTAGCTAGTCTATCTTCTAACACTTTTTGGGAAATCAGTTTTTACATGAAAACACAACAAGTAGATGGGAAGGAGAAATTTTTGTGCCATAACATAAGGATTTACTACAAAGTCTCTGAGACAATAACGTGTGTACTAGCTCTTTCTTGAGTAATTAAGTTTATTGAGTTTAAAAGAATAATTCTCATGAAATGAATGGCATTTTCTGGACATAGAAGTACTAAAGACATAGAAGGAAACTACCAGCAGAGAGAGATGGTTATACAGGAGAGATGTCAAGTCTAGAAGTCTTTTCCTGGATATGCCTTGTGCCAATGCTACAAAGATCTATGATGTTTAAGCTTTCATTTACAAAAACATGTTAAAGTTAAAACCTGCTTCGTGGATGTTCTTTACCAGTCTGAATTGTTTCTCTAGTAGATGAGGCAATGGACACCCATGTGTGAAGACTGTGACCCATGGAGTGAGGTACCCTTCAGGACTGAAAGGTTCCTTTCAACATCGATGGCAGCTCACAACACCTGGGGTTGTGCAGGACTGTATGAGGAGCTATCTTCAATGGCTTGTCACCCTATAGCTCTGGACCAGGGAATGACCACCCATCTGGGTATTAAAATCCCTGTGAGTAGCTTTCATGAAAAACCAATAACATCAGTGGCATCTCCTCCAAATATTCATTGAGATTATGAGAGACAGAGAGAGGATTTGGCCCAAAACACAGGTTTCTGTGAGTGAGGACAAGCAGATCATGCCCCTGATGTTCAAGGGGACAGCAAGAGATGACCTGGGCTGGTTCTTAAAACATTTCTGGCAGTTCACTGCTTGAGATGGATGGACTCAGGAACAAACTGTGCAACATGTGATTCTGTCATGAACTTAGATAATCCCAACATTGACACTGTTGAACAACTAGAAGAGAAGCAGCAGGATGCCTGGGAAACAATCATGTATGAGCTGCTTTACTGATCTGACCCAGTAGAAAATTTGGCAATCTATCAAGCCAATTTAAAAGCTCAGAAAGGGACTAACACTGATTGACTGGCCACCTAAGTGGACAATGTGCACCAATTGCACAGGAAGGCACATCTCACAGTGAACTTGGTAGAGTTGGAGAACATCTTGGTCAATAAGTTCATTGGGACTTCCCAATGAACTTAAGAAACAGCACCTGGGAATGAGGAACATCATTCTCTCATGAAGGCAATGTCTGTCGTGACATGATATGAAGTAGTTAATTGAAGCCAGCCATCAGAGAGGAAGAAGCCTACAGCGACAGCTGTAGTGGCAATTTCACTGGCGAAAAATATGACCTTGAGTATTCCACTACAACAGGCTTGACCCAACTGGAGAGTTAACAACCAGCTACTTCCACCAGACAGAAATGTGATGCAACCATACTGGCAGGGCTTTGCAGGTCTGCTTATGAGGTACATGCTATAGCAAGGTCCATCCATGAGATATATGCCACAACAAGGTCTGCCCATAGGGTATGTGCCATCACAAGAGTGCATGTCACTGCCTAAACCAGCCAGTGGATATAACTCATCATCAAAGACAGGTACAGCAAAGTGCCTGTTTTGTTTGTGGACTAGGGGGGTAATGGTGAAGGAATTGTTCATACTCTGCAATATAGCAAAGCAGGTAGAGCTATCAGTTCAAACAAATGACATGACAGATGCTAGCCAAACCCACAATATCAACAGTTTGCCAAGCAGCAATGCAGGCAAGGGTATCAATATTGGTCATCAAATCAACAGGTTCAAAACTACCAGCAACAAGCAGTGGAAGCTGTGGCAAATGCTCCAGAAAACTGACAGAGTCAAAGTTAGACTTGGCCACTGGCTTGAGAAAGCACAGTAGACAGCTTGTAACAAAGAATTTAATGGTCCTCCCAGCTCTGTCAGGCTGGGTAGAGTTTGGTACATGCCTATAAGGGTACAAAGGTGAGATGTTGGATTCCTGGTAGACACAGGAGCATCAAGGACTCTAGTGGACCTCCGAGCAAGACCACTAAAGGAGCTAGTGAATACCAACTTTGCCCTTGGAAATGACGACAGACCAGATGTCAACCCTATGACTACCAACTTCTTGTATTGCAAGTAGGTAACTTCTATCTCGCCATATTTCATTCCAAAAAATAAAACTAGTAGATGAAATTGTCTGAAATTTGACACTAACTTTCCTAAAAGTATGTAGTTTAAAAAAATAAAATGTTTAATTGATTTTTTTCAACAATTTCTAATAAAAATTCATTATTTAATGTAGTTATTTGCACTGGACTCTGAATAGTTCACCTGCAAGGAGCTTTTAATGTTGAGTATAAAAATACTATTCTTTATCTTACAGTTTCACATTTCACTTGCATAATCTCTAGAACCTGCTAAATGAATATCAAAAGTTTTTTTTTGAGGTAAATGTTTATATTTACCATTTTATCTACTGTACCACTAACTCTGCTATTACCATCAATGTATAGTGCAATGAAATGTTTAAGATTAAGAGGTGAAAATATGTACTTACCTTTTACCTATTTGTTTAATAATCAAAATATATTCTTTGGATCATATGCATAATATCAAGTCTTTGCCTTTTCACAAATATTTCATTTTTAATGTTTGATTTTTCCTTTCTGATCCTTATCTTTTACTATTCATGTTGACACACTTCAAGGGTTGCCTGCAGGCAATATAATGTTATGATCAACAGAGAGTCTGCTCTATCATACGGCAAAATGTTTGCACTTGCCTATTTTTATAACTCTTGATCAGCAAAGCAACAAGTAGAAAACCTTCATCATTAAACCTTTCAAATATGAATTTTAAAACACAAATAATACATAATTAACTAAAATATAAAAGTAAAAACCTAAATGCAATTTAACTGTCTATCCAAAGTAATATGTATAAGGGGAGCAAAATTAGCCAAGTACTAGGGACACTGCTCTCAACATTTCACTAATGCATTTATTTTGACTTTCTTATTAAAACGCATACATTGCCTAACTTTCCTGCCCTCATTACAACATACATGCTTGAAAACTGCTCTTTTTTTTATTGAATATAAACATGCCATTCAAATTTAAACTGTTGCTTAGCAACACAGCTTCTACTTTAAAAGTGGGAGTAGCTTATCTTGAACTGAGGAATTTTTACAATGGTTTCCTCAAGGATAAGTTCTTGGAAGGTTCTCGAAGTACTTGTAAAGAACCTATATATATGCTGTACTTTGAACATCTGGAGAAAATGTCTACTTTACACACACATAA